ACGTGCATTCCATGAGGTATTTTTGCCTTCCCTGTGTCATATTCAGTGATTTACACACTTTCCCAATAGAATATGAATAATGTTTTGTGTACAATCCATAGTTGACAATAAATTTGACAATCTATGTTAATTCAAATTCGAATGGGCGGGAAAGTGTGTGGTATTTAAAAACTGGCCACTTGACCTTCAACATGTGGCACATTGTCAAACTTGATGTCAAAAAAATTGTACTTGTAGCATAGTTGATAGAATATTAGCTAATGGTTGGATTAATTTATGATTTTATATGAGAGGAGAACGAAATTATACAAATTACATCCCCATTCGCCCAAAGGTCATGCTACATGTATTGAATTTTTTTACATAATCTCTTACTGACTACTCACAATAGGGGGTGGGGACCACATCTTGGGATTTTTTTATTCACGCAGGACTCATGTGCATGTGAGAGGGGATACACAATTCGATATGGGGTATTATGTACAAATAGATTTATCTTTCGACCAATCTATCTTAAAATTCCGAAACACACTCGTCACCGTTTGATATTTGTTCTTTAAAGTTCATTCACTCTCAAATTCATTTTAAATTGCACATTTTTTTAATAAAATAATTTTTTCTCTCCCTACTTTTCAACGTCACATTCTTCAAAATTTTCATTTGTCGCAAAATTCATTCTAAAAATAAAAAATCTAAAGGGTTAAATATCAGAATCAAAATAATGAAAGAAAATAATTAAGCCAAAACGATAGGGAAAAAAAAGTGAAAATACCAAACATGATCAATAATTTACAAACAAAAAAAGCCCACTTTTCAACTGATATTTCTAAAAACATACAGACATTAATCCAAAACAATAGGAAAAAATAATTCAAAATATTGATTTGTGTTGGTTAAACCGTGCGGCGGTGGGAGGAGTGATCATTAAACGAGATGGGTTTGGTGAGCATAAGCGGTCTATCTTTAGCCTCTTCTTCATCATCATATTCGTCGTGCGAGGTGGCGAGATTGATGCAGGCGCAGCGTTCAAGTGAGGCAAAGAAGGCCGAAGCTACGCTGGTCCCAACCCAATTAGCCATCCGATCCAGCTTCTCGCACGTTGTGATTCCGCAGCTGTTCTGATTCGAAGACATCACCGCTAATTTTGTTGCTGTATCTGTGTGGAGAGAAACGAAACAAGAGATGGAGAAGAGAAGAGAAGAAGAACGATACAATCAATGAAGATTATAAATGGAATATTATATATATGCCTGGTTTAAGGTTAATCCCTGCTCTGTAACGGACGGCTATGTTTGTCAATTGGAATGGGATTCGCTGTAAAGAAGCAAAGGCATTGATTAAGTGGACCATTAAATGGACAAAATTAAAGGAAAAAGGAAGAGAGGAGGGGACAAATGATACGTTGGATGTTTGCTAATTTTTTTTTCTTTTCTTTTGCTTGTCCGTGTAAGAAAGTTGCCCGTTTTAGAATTGAATAATGCTCTGTGTACAATCCATGGTGGATAAGGAATTTGACAATCCATGTTAATTCGAATGGGCGGAAAAGTGTGTGGTATTTAAAAACTGGTTACTCAACTTTCAACATGTGGTACATTGTCCAACTTGATGTCAAAAAAATTGTGCTTGTAGTATGGTTGTTTAGAATTTACCTTTTTTTTTTAACTTTTACTTTTTTAGAATCTTATATTTTTATATTTTAGAACTTGTAGTTTTTAAAATTTTATTTAAACACTTATTTCTTATGTTTTGAAAACATTCAAAATGTTAAAAATACGTTTTTGATTTTTATATTATAATTTTAACATTAATTTTGAAAATGCATTTTCAAAAATGTCAAACTAAAAAGATTTGGATAATGTTAATGCTTCAAACTCTAGCACGGTAAGATACTTATCGAGTTTCCAATACAATGATCATTTGAAATTCAAGAGACTCTTATGCAAAATGATGGATAACGGACGACTGAATGGATTGATGAATAATTGGATCAAAAAGGAAAAAAAACGGTGAAGTGCAGATTTGACGATCAAGCTCCGATTTGAGCCTATAGTACCCTTTCGAAAAGGAAACGAAGAGCTGAACTGAATTCATTGTTTTTCTATGACATATGATGGATTTTAACCATCCCAAATTGTTTAGGACTCGAAAATTGGTTTTAAAGTTTTAGTGCTATTTTTGTCATTTAGTTTATTTCAAATTCTTTTCAAATTAAGTTTTCTTATAAATTCTTATAAATAAAGAATTAATTCTTCATTTTTGCAGCATCTTGAAATTAATAAAATTTCGTGAGATCAATTTTCGTTGTCTGTTGAATTCAAGTTTTAGTGGTCCTTAGATTTTCGATTGGATTCCTTGTTTATTCCCACTACATCTCATTTTACTCCAAGTAACACAAAATTATTCAACTCGTTGAAATTACTTAAAATTGCGGTTGCTCCCATGTCACCAATGTAGTTAAAAAATTGATAAAAATATTAGTTAAACCACACACTATAAGGTTCATAATTTTTATCAACCTCCAATCACATATTCATCAATTTTTATCAAAATTTACTGAAAATTTTATTTTTAATTAAACAAAGATGAGCTCTATTAGTTTTTATTTTCTTTTGCTGCTTTTTGCAAATATGAATGGCATAACTATTCTATTTCTCATGACATAACTGCAACATATCCAATACAAATGATACAAGTTTACTACTTTATCGCCCTTTCGTTCGAAGTAAAGAAATTTGTTCGCGCGATTGGATGGAGAAATACTGAAATAAATCTTTTGATTTTAGCTTTCTTCCCAATTTCGATGAAATTGGAAATCTCGTAGCTGCAATAACCCAAATTTTATTGAATTTTGGAAGAAATTAAAAAAAAACCTGCTGAACCATAAGTTGTACATCCAAATTTCAGTTTCTCCTCCTCCAACACCATGCCGAAGTTCACTCCTTCCTCCCCTGCACCACCGCCACTAGATATTATGGCCCACCTACCGCTCCGCTTAAATAAATCCGAGACTATCCCTCCCGCCCCGAATCGCCCCGCAACAGGATACGAACCCGCGATCGATTGGTTACTGGAATTCGTCGGGTACTCATGGATCGCTTACGGAGCCTCCTCTCTCTTGGTCATCTCTCACTTCCCCAATCCTCTCGCCGATGCCGAAACGCAAATCGGGCCAATTTTCCGTCAAGTGATCGACCTCTCCCGCGAAGGTACATGCAGTGTGGCGGCTGTCTCTTGGTCCCCTGCCACGCCCTCCACCGGTGAACTCGCCGGCGCCTCGGGCAACTGTATCCGCTTGTTCTCATATATTTCAGAGGACACTTCTTGCAGTAAGTCTGTAGCTTTACATTATCAAATCTTTTTGATTATGCATATTGTAGAATGTGAATATTAGATTCTTTATGATCATAGGATAAGCATTAACTGGGCAAGTTTTTATTGATGAATATATGCTTGAATGAGAAATCAAATTACCACCTTAGTAAAGTTGGATTAGGAATTTGGAAAACGAACTAGCAATGCAGTTGAAGTTTGGAATTAGAACAACAGACAATGTTAATATAAGTTTCAGTTGTTTTTATAATGCAATGCAGTTGAAGTTTGGGATTAGAACAACAGACAATGATAATATAAGTTTCAGTTGTTTTTATTATTCTGAATTTTACAAGTTTTCATTCCAGTGCTCCGAAATTTGTTCATAATAATGCATATTAAATTATGGGATTGTGTTTGATGAATCAAACGCTACTCCCAGATGAGAAACCAAACTCTGGAAATTGAACTATAGCAAGTAAGATAGACGTCACTCGTAAAACTTGTGCTATTTAATTATAGTCTGTGAAAAATTCTAAATCTTGGGTAATATGATTATTGGTGTGTTACACATCTGCACAATCCCTAGTAAGGGAAAACTTTAGAGATTATTTGTGGTTTGTTCGACTTGCATGTTCTATGCAACTTTTTACATGGAATGCGGGTAATAATAATTATTATGACCACAATTATCTTACAGTTGATTCACACCATACCATTGTACACGTTAATCTTTAAGCTATCAACCATGTATATTTCCTTGAGGGTATTGGTCGCTAGAAGTGGTCAACTCCATGTTCAGCTCTCTCTCTCTCTCGAAATCAAACGCGACCTTCTTTACTGATATTCAGGTTCTTTTTGTTGGAGTCAGACTGCAATACTTGTGCAATCTACAGAGGTGGAAGCCATCAAATGGACGGGTTCAGGAGATGGGATAGTTTCAGGCGGCATCAATGTGGTGCTATGGAGAAAAAAGGAGGTATCTTGGGAAATAGCTTGGAAATTTAAACCAAAAGTTCCTCAAGTTTTGGTTTCTGCTTCCTGGTCAGCGACAGGACCTTCAGCAACTGCATCATGGAGTAAACTGCAAGTTGGAGATTCATCTTCTCCAATCAATGAGGCGAGCAAATATGTTTTAGTTTTTCAAGGTGATGAGCAATACAAATGTGTACAAACTGAGCTGCACCATCCATTGCCTGTTACCATGATACAATGGAGGCCATCAACAGGTAAACCATTAAAAAGGGATGCCAGACAGTCATTGCGCTCGGTGCTGTTAACTTGCTGTGTTGATGGAACTGTAAGGTTATGGAGTGAGACGGGTGATGGGAGGATTAGACGAGCTGGAAAGGAAAGTTGTGACCAGAAGGCACCAAGATTATTTTTTGTTGTCATTGCTGTGCTCGAGGTAAACCAAACACTAAATGGATCTTTGGGTTCTAATGTATTTGTTAGTTGGGCTACAGAAGTTGAAGGTGTAATTGCCATTGGTAAAGAAGCTCGCCATTATTCATGTGTAGATGATGTTCTGAATGATAATACTGGCAAGTGTGAGTGGTTAGTTGGCTTTGGTCCTGAAACAGTGGCAACTTTCTGGGCTATTCACTGTCTTGATGATTTTGCTCCCGTTAGGTTCCCAAGGGTCACTTTATGGAAGAGAAAGGAATTAATCAATCTTGAATTGGAACCAAGTCAATTGTTAGTCAATAAAGTTTGTATCATGAGGAATCAAGTTTCTAGTCCTCCTGTTCTATGTACTCTGGTTCAATTATTACCTAGTAATTCTTTAGCCTGGACACAGTTATATTCGCTATCATCAAGTAGTATCGAAGAGGATTCTGCAAATAAATGTCAGACTGAAAGCTTGTTGTCATCTTGTGCTAAAGGAATTCTTGAAGTTGATGGTCACACTGGAAAAATTCTACAAGTTGCAGTTCATCCTTATTTGTTTGAAGTTGAACTTGCTGCTTCTTTGGATACAGATGGTATGCTTCTTTTCTGGTCTCTTTCTACCTTCAATAGTAACATGGGTGTTCCGACAATGAACCCATCCTGGAAATTTCGTGGAAGAAACGTTTCGGATCGCTATCCAAAGTACACTTGCTTGAACTGGGCTCCTGCAATACTAGGTGAGGACCGGGCTATTCTCATGGGACATGCTGATGGCATTGATTGCTTCATAGTTAACACTCCAAAAGATGAAGAACAGAAAATACAGATTCACAAGTTAATTACCATGCCCCTCACCAGTCAAGATCAGGACAGTGGTCCAACTAGGGTCTGCTCGATTCCTTTGCCTTCTAGCTGCAATGAAATCTATAATTCAAGTAGCTTTCTGCTGGTGGCATTATGGATGGATGGATTTCTGGCTTTATCATGGCAAATAACTATCCATCGTTATGATTTGCATGTAAGCTGCTGTGACAAGCACATGCAAACATTTGAAAGTGAATATGTTGGTAAAAATTACTGTGTCTCTATTGATCCTTGCTCATCAGCATTTCCTGCTCCCCACAAGGATGATATAGTTACCAGTTTTGCTGTGGTCTGCTCAGAGGACTTGATTTTATCTGAAGAGCGGACACTAATTTCTGACAATAAAATGGACACCTTCTACTATCCATATCACTTGGTGACTGGTTGCATTGATGGTACTTTGAAACTATGGAGGAGTGTCACGAGTTTGCTAGATCAATCCTTGATATCAAGTACAAAATGGGATCTTGTTGGTGTGCTTTCTGTACACAAAGGTCCTACCACAGCAATATCTCCAAGTGTCTATGGTCGAAAAGTTGCATCTGCCTCCCCAGCTGGTCAGTCTAGTACTTCTAGCATCCTTCATATATGGGAATGTGTGCATGTCCATGATGCAGGCAGCTTTGTAAAAGAAGATGAACTATATCTTGATGGAGAGGTCGTTGGTATACATTGGTTTATGATGGGAAATGGACAGTTATTACTAGGGGTTTGCTTGCGGAATGAGTTGCGGATATATGCTATGAAACGCTGTGGAGGTCAGGATGTTTTGAAATCTGGAAAGC